CCCTAGCATCAACCCTAGTGTCAACCCTCACCTACACGTCCCCCGCCTGCACCCTATACACACCCCTAGTGTCAACCCTCACCTACACGTCCCCCACCTGCACCCTATACACACCCCTAGCATCAACCCTAGTGTCAACCCTCACCTACACGTCCCCCGCCTGCACCCTATACACACCCCTAGTGTCAACCCTCACCTACACGTCCCCCTCCTGCTCCCTATACACACCCCTAGCGTCAACCCTAGTGTCAACCCTCACCTACACGTCCCCCTCCCCTGCACCCTATACACACCCCTAGTGTCAACCCTAGTATCAACCCTCACCTACACGTCCCCCGCCTGCACCCTATACACACCCCTAGCATCAACCCTAGTGTCAACCCTCACCTACACGTCCCCCGCCTGCACCCTATACACACCCCTAGCGTCAACCCTAGTGTCAACCCTCACCTACACGTCCCCCTCGTCCTCCCTATACACACATCTGATGAGCTATCCCGTCATAGATTTCTATACATTCCGACAATTTCTGTTTACCCTAGTTAATGTAGTCAGTAGACCAGGACCACAGAATTCCATACAAGATGTGACCCTGGCGGTCGTTGTCAGAAACGTGATAATTATTTATGGCTATCGCGAGTAGTAAAGTTTCATAAGATTTGCATGATATACCTGTAAGAGGTGATATACCTGTACTGTGCAAGGAGCTAAATATAACAAGGAGAGGAAGCGCCGCCATAACTGGCCCAAATCTTTGTCATATTTGGTCATATTGGCCTAGAACAGATTAGTGTTCTATTGTCTCTGGGTTCGGGTCTGCACAGCCGTTTCAGCCGATTATGGTCCATCGACGGCGTCCTTGAGGCGAACAGCACACAGCCAAAACCGCTCACTCTCCTTGTTATATTTAGCTCCTTGGTACTGTGTAGCTATGTACCTGTATGATGAGATCTCGTCGTACGAGCGGCTGCCGCGCGCGGGCGGGTCCCACGAGATGACGGCGCAGCCGGTCGTGTAGCACGGCCGCCGCGAGATCGTGGCCGCCTCGGGATGCAGCGGACAGCTGACGTAGAGCTTGTCGGACGGCGGGCTGTTGTCGAAGCCGCTGCCGGCGACCGTCACCAGCGCCAGCACCGTCATCGAGCCTGCGAGAGATGGCGCCACCGTCGTTATGTAGCGGGAGCGAGATGGGGAGCCACCGTCGTTATGTAGCAGGAGAGAGAGATGGAGCCACCGTCGTTATGTAGCGGGAGTGAGAGAGGGAGCCACCGTCGTTATGTAGCGGGAGCGAGAGAAGGAGCCACCATCGTTATGTAGCGGGAGCGAGCGAGGAAGCCACCGTCGTTATATATATAGCGGGCAAATTGTTAATATACTGTCCAATAGATTTAATTTGTCACGAAAGATACTATACAGACATGGGTGTGCTACAAACATGGATTTATAGCCACAATTCAGGATTTGACTCATGGTCTATTAGCAGGGGACAAAGGAAAAGTAATAAAGTTACAGGATAGTACTAGCCATTACCGAGTATGATAGGTGAGTATGTGGTGGTGGAATTCTACCTCCAGGTTATATAAAACCTATATACCTGTCAAGTTAGTGTAGAAAGCCTATGTACCTGTCAAGTTAGTGTATAAAGCCTGCATACCTGTCAAGTTAGTGTATGGATGAAACACACGTAAAGCAACAAACCACGTGCACAGCGGCGCGGCCCAGCGCCATGCAAGTCGCGCGCCAAAATAAGAATACAGAAATAAAGAGACAGATAGAGCAAGAAAGAGGAAAAAAGGGAGAGCGCGCGAGCGAGAGGAAGTAGGGGAGAAAGAGAGAAGACGAACAGAAAGAAAGAGCCAGAGAGAGAGAGGAGGGAGAGGGGGAGGGCGCACACAAGGTAGAGAACAGATCATCGTACGTGCCCCTCTCACTCTGACATCGTGTGTGGTAACCCCTGTACATCAGAATCACTCTTCCCACGCGCGGTATTAATATATATATTAATTATAATTAAATTATAAATTATATAAATTATAATTAAATTATAATTAAATTATAAATTATAATAAATTATTAATTAAATTTATAATCATATATAAAATTATAATATAAAAATTATAAATTATAATTATTAATTTTAATATTATTAATTATTATCATTAAATATGTTAATTAGTATTAACGACGAGCAGAGCGTACCGTACATGCGGACGCATGATCATCCATACTGCCTTGCGGCACCGCTGCCACGTTCACGCTCGAGTGCCCGTTGGCTATGGAGAACGCGTTCGATGCGCATGCTGCGGCGTGACCGAGGGCGGTGGCGCAATCTGGTGACCGGTAGCGTGTTGGACGTACTGTGCTTGTCTGCAGATCGTCGCCACGTGACACTCGTCCGTCATGTACTCTCCCGCGTGAGCCTGCCGGAAGGCTATGAGTCACGCAAGCAGTTTAGCGATAATTATCTGCACATCTGTAGTTACAGCTTTTGATTACTCTTTCAATGTAGGCCTGTGGGGGGGGGTAGCTGCCGCCTTAGATTTTGGAGGCAAAATTAAGCAAAATAAAGCTTAGCGCAATAATGCGTAAATAATTCTATACGGTGATTGGTTTTTGGTGCCACTTATCCCTGAAGAGCCTTGTCTCAGACCCCACCACTACCTGAACTGTAGAGCGTCGATACAAACAACTCGCCGTCGCTCTATCATTAACACAGTTGAGTCACAGAAATTTTGCCGCCCCCCACCCCGTAGGAATTTGCTCAGTCTAGCGGCCCGCTGGGTTAACAACGGGCGCGCAGCCTAGCCGTTGACGGCGCGTCGTAGCAACGCCTTGACCTAGGTGTCAGTGTCCGCGAACGTGTACTTGTATCCGTAGCTGTCGAATTCCTTCTGCGCGCGTAGCTTGCCATGCACGAGTCCGTCCAGGTAGACGCTGCCGCACACACCGACAACAAAACATATGCGTGACAACGGCCTCACCTACCACGTCCCCACTCCTGCTCGCGCTAGTGTCAACGCGCCCGCGGCCTGCACCCTAAGTACACAACCCTAGTGTCAACCCTCAGCGGCTACACGTGCCCTCCTGGCACCGCTATACACACGCGCGCTAGTGTCAACACCTCACCTAAACACGTCCCGACCTCTGCTCCCTATACACACACGCTAGCCGTCAACCCTAGTGTCAACCCTCAGCTGCTACAGCGCTCGCCCCTCCATGCACAGCCTAATACACACACCCTAGTGTCACAATCCGCTCACCTACACGTCCCGCCTGCAGCCCTATACACACCCGCTAGTGTCACCCTCAGCCTACACGTCCCCCTCCTGCTCCCTATAAACACACCTACGTGGGCCTAGCGTCAGCCCTATGTCAACCCCTCAGCTACACGTCGCCGAGCCTCCTGCACCCTATGACACACGCCTAGTGTCAACTACCTCACCTACACAGTGTCCCCGCTCCTGCTCGCCTAACACACCACCTAAGCGTCAACCTAGTGTCAACCCTCGACCTAACACGTCCCGGCTCCTGCACCGCTATACACACCCCTAGTGTCAACCCTCACCTACACGTCCCGCCGCCCTGCAGCCCTATACACACGCCCTGCAGGTCAACGGTGCGCTCACCATACACGTCCGGCCGGCTGCCTGCGCTCCCTATACACACACGGCCGGCTAGCGTCAGACCCTAGTGTCAACGCCTCACCTACACGTGCGCCGCTCCTGCACCCTATAACGACAGCCCCTAGTGTCAACCCTCACGCTACCGACCAGCGTCCGCCCTCCTGCTTCCGCTATACACATCACCTAAGCGTCAAGCCCTAGTGTCACCCTCCACCTACACGTTCCGCCTTCTGCTCCCTATACACACCACGTCTAGGGGCGCAACCCTGAGTGTCCGAAGACTCCACCTAACACGTCGCCCCTCCTGCTCCGCTATACACATCTGCCTAGCGTACAAACCCTAGTGTCCAACCCTCAACCTACACGTCGCGCCCTCCCACCTGCAGCCCTATACACGACCCGCTAGTGTCAACGGCCTAGTATAACCCTCACCTACAGCGTCGCGCCCGCGCTGCACGCCTATACCACCCCTATCCTTGAGCCCTAGCCATGCACGTGCCTAGTGTCAACGGCCTCACGCCTACGAGAGTCGCGCGCGCCTGAGCCACCCTATACACACGCCCCTAGTTGTCAACGCCTCATCCTACGACGTCCCTCATCGGCTGCACGGACTATACCACAAAACCCAAAGCTAGCATCAACTCTAGGTGTCAACCCTCACCTACACGTGGCCCCTCCTGCAACCCTAATTAACACACGGCCTAGTGTAACCTCGACGCTAAACGTACGCGGACGCACTCCTGCTCCCTATACACGTCACACCTAGGCGTCCAACGCCTTAGTGTCAACACTCACACACTACACGTCCGCCCTCGCTGCTCGCCTATACAGCACGTCGCGTAGTCGTCACCCTAAGTGTCAACAGCCTCACTAGCTTACACGTCCGCCCGCTCGCCCTTCGCAGCCCTAGGGTACACGCACCCTAGTGTCAACGCCTAGTAAATGCAACCCTCACGGTTAGCACGTCCCCGCAGCGGCTGCACGCCTATACACACCCGTAGCACAAACGCCTCGAGTTGTCAAACCTACACCTACACGTCCCTCGCCATGCACGGCCTATACACAGGGCCCAGACACACCCCTAGTGTCAAACCATGCTCCACCTACACGGTCCGGCCCTCAGGCTGCATCGCCCTCATACACACCCGTATGCGTCCAACCCTAGTGTCAACCCCTCGAGACCACGCCCATTTACCACGTCCTCCCGGCCTCCTGGCACCCCTATACAACACCTAGTGGTCAAACGCCTCACCTACCCCGCTCCCCTAGCCGAGCGCCTGAGCCGCTAATACACACCCCCTAGTGTCAAACCACTCACCGTACACGTCCCCTCCTGCAACCGCTAGTTTAAAAACAAACCCCCTAGCGTCAACAGCCTAGTGTCAACTCACCTACCACGTCCCCCCTCGTGCTGCCCTATACTCCACCCCTGAGTGTCACGTCGCTGCACCTACACGTAACCCGCTGCCCCTGCACCGCTATACACCAGGACCCCCCGTAGTGTCAACCGCTCACATCGCTAACAGAGTCCCCGGCTGCGCTGCACCTCCTATACACACCCGCGCGGCTGAAGGCGGTCAACCCTTAGTGTGTCAACGCCTCCCCTTAAAACGTCCCCGCGTCCTGCTCAGGCCTATACAGCACGACCTAGCGTCAACTCCTAGTGGTCACCCTGCACCTACACAGTCCGAGGACCCTTGCCGGCTGGCACCCTTATACAACATCCCGCTAGTGTTCCAAGCGCCTCACACCTACTTACGTCCCCCGCGATGCAGCGCTCATAAGCACACGCGCCTAGTGTGGCAACTCGCTCACCTACTACGTCCACCTCCTGCACGCCTATAACACAGGCAGCCTGCCGGGGGGACCGCCTACGTCGAACCGTCTAGTGTCCAACTGGCACCTGCACCTACACGTCCCGCGCTCCTGCTTTTCCTCCCTATACACACCGCCTAGTGTCAACCGTGCACCAGCGCTGTACACGTCCCCCGCTCGCGCTGTCACGCCTAATACAGCACCCGCTAGTGTCAAGCCGCTCACACTACACGTCCCGCTGGCTCCTGCACCCTATACACACGCCCCTAGCGGTCAACCCGTAGTGTCAACCGGGCTCGCACCTACACGTCCCCTCGCTGCTCGCCTTAATACACACCGCCTACGTCACGCGTCAAAACCGGCTAGTGTCAAGCCTCACGCTTACACGCCGGTCCCGGGCCGCCCTGGCAGCTCTATACACACCGCTAGCGTCAACCCTAGTGTCAACCGCTCACCTACTACGTCCCCCCGCTGGCCTCTGACCCCTATGTGTCAAACCGGCCTCACCTAAACGTCGCGCGCCTCTGCTCCCTATACAACATGCTCGCCTAGCAACAACCCTTAGTGTCAACCTCACCTACCCACGATCCGGCGCCTCCTGGCACCACAGGCTATTACCACACTCCCTAGCATCAACCCTAAGTGGTTCAACCACTCATCGGCCGTGCACCGTAGCACGTGCGCCCCGCCATGCTCCCCTATACAGCACCCCATAGGAATCAACCCTAGTGTCAACCCTCACTCTACACGTCCGCCGCGCCCTGCTCCCCTAACTAACAGCACCCGCTTAGCATCAACCTCTAAGTGTCAAAGCGCCTCACCTACACGTCGCCCGACGCCTGCACCCTATACACCATCTGATGGGCTAATCGCACATAGATTTCTATACGTTCCGAGCAATTTTTCTGTTTTACGCCTGAGTTAGATGTAGACCCAGGACCACAGAAAATTTCGCATAGCACAATGTGAGCCGGCTGGCGGTCGTTGTCAGAAACGTGATGATTATTTATGGCTATCGCGAGTAATAAAGTTTTATAAGATTTGGCATGATATACGCTGTAATGAGGTGGATACAACTGTACTGTGCCAAGGAGCTTAAATTATAACAAGGAAAGGTAAGCGCCGGCCATATCGGCCCGAATCTTTGCCGATATTTGTCATATTGGCGGCTAGAACAGATTGACGTGTTCTTATTGTCTCTGGTTGCGGCGTCTGCACAGCCGCGTTGTTCAGCCGATTATGGTTCCATGAGAGGCGTCCTTGGAAGCGAAAAGCGCGACGAGAACCAATCGCCGGCTTCGTCTGCCTTGTTATACTTGTAGGCTCTCCCCGTTGATACTGTGTATTAGCTTGCATGTTACCTTGTAATGATGTGACCGTACGTCGTAGCGAGCGGCACTGCCGCGCGCGGGGCGGGTCCTCACTGAGATGACGCCGCAGCCGGTCGTGTAGGCACGGCCGCGCGGCGAGAGTCGTCGGGCCGCCTCGATCGCCAGCTACGGACCGATCTCGGGATGGCAGGCGGGACCGAGCTGACGTAGAGTCTTGTCGTGAGCCGGCGGGCTGTTGTCGAAGAGCCGCTGCGGCGACCGTCACCCGAGCGGCCAGCACCGTCATCGAGCCTGCGAGAGATGGCGGCCTACCTGTCGTTATGTTAGCGGGAGCGAGAAGGGGGAGCCGACCGTCGTTATGTATCGGGCGGGAGCGGAGTAAGGGTGAGAGGCGGGAGCCCATCGTATTATAGATAAGATAGCCAGGCATGAGAGAGGGGAGCCCCCGTGCGTTATGTAGCGGAGCGCGAGATGGCGCCACCGTCTGTTATGGTAGCGGTAGGGGGCGAGATGGCGCCACGCCGTCGTTATGTAGGCGGAGCGAAAGAGGGAAGCCCACCGTCGTTTTGTAGCGGGAGCGAGAGATGGTGCCAGCATCGTGTATGTAGGCGGGCAGCGAGAAGATTTGGCGCCACCGTCCGTTATGTAGGGCGGAGCGAGAGAGGGAGCCAACATCGTTATATAGCGGAGCGAGAGAAGGGAGGCCACCGTGCGTTATGTAGGGCGGGAGCGAGAGAGGGAGGGCCACCGTCGTTATATAGGGGCGGGAGCGAGAGAGGGAGCCCACGCGTCATGTTATGTACGAGGGAGCGAGAGAGGGAGCCACCCGCTCTTTATAATAGGCGGGAGCGAGAAAGGAGCCACCGGTCGTTACTAGTAGAGGGAGCGATGAGGGGAGGCCACCGTTCGTTATTATAGGCGGGAGCGAGAGAGGGAGCCACCCGTCGTTTATGTAGAGGGAGGGGCGAGAGGGGGAGCCACCGTCATTATATAGCAGGGAGGGCGAGGAGAGGAGCCACCCGTCATTATATCAGCGGGGAGCCGAGAGGGTGGAGCCACCGTCCGTTAATATAGGGCGGGTAGCGAGAGAGGGAGCCTACGTCGTGTATCGTAGAGGGAGCGAGAGAGAGAGCCACCGTCGTTAATATGAGCGGGAGCGAGAGAGAGAGAGCTCAAGCCATCATTATGTAGCGGGAGGGGCAGGAGAGGGAGCCAACCGTCATTATATTAGGCGGGAGGCGAGAGAGGGAGCCACGGCGTGTTATGTAGAGGAGCGACGAGAGGGAGCACCAATCATTATGTAGCGGGAAGGCGAGAGAGCGGAGCCAGCCGTCGTTAATGTAGGGGCGGGAGCGAGAGAGGGAGGGCCAGCCATCATTATGTAGAGGCGGCGGGAGGCGAAGAGGGGCTGCACACCGTCATTAATATAGCGGGGAGCGAGAGGGGAGGCCACTGTCGTTATGCAGAGAGAGCGAGAGAGGGGGAAGGCGCACCGCGTTTATATAGCCGGCGAGCGAGAGAGGGAGGCCGTACCGTCATTATGTAGAGCGGGAGGCGAGAGAGGGAGGGCCACGCGTGCTTATGTAGCGTTTGAGGCGTATGAGTAGGGAACCACCGTCGTTATAATATATATGGCGAGCGAATTGTTAATATACTGTCGCAAGTAGATTTAATTTGTCACCGAAAAGATACTAGGCAGAGCATGCGTGTGGGCTATCAGAACATGGCATTATAGCCAGCAATTCAGGATTTGACTCATGGTCTAATAGGCAGCGGACAAAAAGAGAAGTATAAAGTTTAGGCAGATAGTACTGAAGCGCACTACTGAGTATTATATGGTGAGTATGTGGGGTGAATTCTACCTCCTGCTGATATAACAACGGCCTAATAATACCTGTCAACGTTATGTATCAAAGCTTTGCATACCGTGTCAAGTAGTGTAATAAGAAGCCTGCGCATCACCTGTCGATATTCAGTGTATAAAGCGCTGCATACGCGTCAAGTTAAGTGTATCAAGCCCTACATACCTGTCAAGTTACGTGTATAAATGCCTGCATATCTGTCCCAAGTTAATGTATCAAAGCGTAAATGAGCGTGTGCAAGTTAGTGTATAAAGCCTGCAATACCTTGTCAAGTTAGTGTATAAAGCGCTGCAATACCTGTCATAGTTGGAAGTGTATAAAACGCATGCAATACTGCTGTCAAGTTAGTGTATAAAGCCGCATTACCTGTCAAGTTAGTGTATAAAGCCTGCAGTACGCTGTCAAAGTTCAGTTGTATTAAAGGCCTGCATACATGTCAAGTTAGTGTATTAAAGCCTATATACCGCTGTCAAAGTTATGTGTATAAAGGCCTGCATAGCGGCTGTCTCAAAAGTAGTGTATAAAGCCTGCATACCTGTCAAGTTAGTGTATCAAGCCGGCATACCTGTCAAGTTAGTGTATAAAGCCTGCATACCTGTCAAGTTGGTAGCATACCTGGTTTTATCTCCTGTATGGTCGTGCAGTCCGTGTTTCTGTCTAGATTCCTTCCCAGTTGTTTTCGCGTCACATTCAGCATCACTGTATCCGATTCAGCAGGCAGCATCTTTTTTTGTGCTTGTCTCCCATCTCCCATGTGACAGTGATCTGTGAATCAATGTGTCTATGAGTGCCATCATACTCCAGGAAACAGAAACAGAACATCATCTTCATCATGCTTATCATCATCATCAGGTGCAAGCAGATAGCCAGCAGCATCTAAAGCATTCATTATCGTCCATCATGCATCACGCGACCATCGTCGTGCATCGACCAATCAGGCCATTCACTCATCAATACAACCATGCATCACCACATGCGGAACCACAATGCATCGTCATCATCATCATCATCATCATCATCAAACAACATCATGACATAGATGCATCATCATCATACATCATCATGCCATCATCATCATCAACACCACGCCTTAGCGTCATCTTTTACTCAGGTTCGTGACTAATTAACGACAAGCCCCACGGGTCACTCAAGTTGGCTGGGCGTGTATCAAGTGCCGACGTTGCGCAAATGTGTCCAATTCCCATGGGGCTTAAGCTATTAAGCAGCACACTACCGCCACAATAATGGCTACCTAGCACTCACACGCGCGCACACTGCTCACTCTCTCTCTCTCAACCACACAGCGACACACACGCATACACACATCGCACGCGAACGGCACGCACTGCAGCACAGCACAAGCACACACACTCTCTCTCAACACACACAGCGCCCAGCCACCACACACAACAACCGCACTTGACGCACGCGACGGGCACAGGCCGGGGCACGGGCAGCGCACGGCACGGCCACGACACACGACGCATCTAGCACACACACAGCTTACTCACACACACACACGCCGCCACACCATAACGCACTCTGGCTCTCTGGCTCTCTCTGCTGCTCTCACACACACACACACACACCACACCACGACACATACGCACATTCAGCTCCCTGCTCTCTCTCTGCTCTCTCTCTCATCTCTTCCTCTCTCTCGTCAGGTTCTCTCTCGTCTCGTCACCTCTCGTTGCTCTCTCACAGTACCACACACACACACACAGGTGCGACACACACATACACCCCCCATCGGCCAACTACACACACCTGCTCCCCCGCCCCCACACACACGTGGGGTTGCCAATCATCCCCCTGTCCATTCTACCACCCCCACTCCCCCGTATATTATTGACCGTGCTTAACCTGTCTCTCGGCCGGATGTCCACGGACGCTTGACCGACACGGGGTCGCTGCGGCGGGCCGAGCGTGCCAGTAAGGTCATCTCTAGCTGACGCTGAACGGAACCTCTAGCGAGGCGGCTGATCCACGATTCCGTAGTTTTGGCTAATCAGTATATGCTGAGGAGACTACACACGAACGCGCACATCTAAGCTGCTGCATTGATTGGGCCAGTGGAGGAGAGGGGAGGGGTAAACAGAGGCGCCGCAGAGAGAGAGAGAGAGAGAGGCGCATCAGAGAG